CCCTGTACCTGTGGATGGGAACCCGATTGGAAACGGGCTTTTCTTTGTTATGTTAATGAGGTCATCCCAGTGCAGGTGGGTCCTAACCCGAACCGTTTCTGAGTCATAACAGCAGCAGATCAGACACCCACAGGGGCGGGGAACAAGATGGACCATCTACAAGCCCAGGTACCGAGGGTTGCTGGAAGGTACTAGAAACTGAAACAGGCCAGGAAGGACTGGGGGTGTTCCTGTCAGGGCAGAGCGGGGAGAGAGCATGAGCGTGCCCTCCCCTCTGCACCCCCTCTCCAGGCGGTGCCTTGTGTCCGCTGTGCCAAGGGCCGAATGGGGTCAGGTGCCCTCTGGGAGCACACGGCAGAGCTCGGGGCGTGCTTGGGGCCGCTGGCAGAGGCTGCTACAGTTTTCCAATGTCTGAACAGGCCCCCTGACCCCAACCCTGGTCCTGGCCCTGAGGCTGGACCCTCATCATCCCTCCTCTATGCCCTACACGGGGCATCACAGGAACTTGGGGGACCCACGGGAACTGGAGGGGCTCCGTGGGCATTCAGAGGTCCCGGGGCACTGTGAGGGCTCCATGGGCACTAGGGGGACCCCACAAGTGCTGGAGGACTCCACGGGTGGTAGGAGGCCCCATGGGCATGGGGGGGCTCCACAGGCACTTGGGGGCTCCATGGACACTAGGGGGACCCCACAAGTGCTGGGGGACTCCATGGGCGGTAGGAGGCCCCATGGGCATGGGGGGGACTCCACAGGCACTTGGGGTCTCCATGGACACTAGGGGGACCCCACAGGTGCTGGTGGGCTCCATGCGCGGTAGTGGGCCCCATGGGCATGGGGGGGCTCCACAGGCACTTGGGGGCTCCATGGACACTAGGGGGACCCCACAGGTGCTGGTGGGCTCCATGGGCGGTAGGGGGCCCCATGGGCATGGGGGGGCCTGACTGGACACGGGAGCAGCAGGAGGGGTGGAATGCAGTGGTAGACACACTGGCCGTCACCAGAGTGGCGGGGCACACTGTGGGGGAGGCCTCCTGAGAGAGCTGTGGGCCCCCCTCCCCTTACTCTCCCCTCCCTTCCTCGCCCACCTTCAGGCTGTCGGCCATGATGACCACACTGGGGTCGGTCAGCGCGCTGAACAGCTGCTTGGTGGCACGCTTCTTCTCCTGCCGGTAGTTCTCCTTCCGTGCCTGCCCGAGCACCGCGGGGTCAGGGAGGAGCCTCTGGGTGGCCACCGGCTCTCACCACCTCACCACCCTCTGGAGGAGAAGCCCCTGCCAGCCCAGGGATGGGGACAGGCAGGGAGAGGAGGGTGCGGGGGTGTGGAGGCAGCTGTTGCCCCTCCGCATGGCAGGGGGGCTCACTGGCCCAGGCGCCCCCCGCCCCCACCCGGCGTCCTCACCTTGAGAGTTTCCTTCTTGGTGACCTTGGCCGTTGGGGACACACACTCCTTGTCCGACCCATTGCACAGCCTGTACTCTGCCTGCAAGAGTGTGCGGGGGGCGTCAGTGTAGGCCCAGGTTGGGGAAGGACTGCAGAGCAGAGACAGGCACCCCTCCCTGCCCGGCACCCCTGTTTAGGCTTACCACCACTTCCC